GAAGCTTTTATTTGACAGCCATTTGATGGACTGTATGACTTGTGTGACTGTTCCCAATCCATTTTCTAGTGTTCAGACAGGCAAGTATTGAATGGAAACCCTGAAAGCACACCCGGAGTGAGCGTCGATGTCAGAGACAGCGGCCCATGTTTAGAGCAGATTGCTAACACATCCAGGGCTGTTTCCAGTTCTGCTCTGTCCTACTGTGAGAACGGGAATGAGTCATTTCCGTGCGCTACATCTGAGTCCTTCCTGAAACAGAGAGAACATCAGTTCCACATCTCGCCAGGGATCCCTGTCAGAGCTACGGGTGTCAGGCAGCGGGGAGGCAGGTTGCAGAAGGCACTGCCCGCACTGGATTTCTTCACTTCTGAGCACAAGAGCTTGGTTTCAGAGTCTGTCAATCTGATGCTTTTCACCACTAAGAGGGAACATCTCCTCTGTCCTCTACTTTGACTTTTTACCATTGCCCAGTGTCCGCAGTAGTTGGAGACAAAACAACTACTGAGCTATTAAAAGGAAAAATATCTTTTCAGCCCACTTTAATGACAATTTCCTTGGTTGTGCCACATTCATAGCAGAGGGTAACCGTTCATTGTCAAAGATGACCCATTTGGGAGAAAAATACTGTGGTTTATTACTTGTTTTATCTCCCTATCACCTGTGTGGAGTTGATTGTACGCCAAGGGCAGAGAGAGTTGTGCAGGCACTGAGACTCAGGGCATCAAATCCTGCAGTAATGTTTGATTGGAACTGTGTCCTTGTTTTTTGGAACTGAAGATGAGCTCTCCAGTTACACTTTCAAATACCACAAGACTTATCAGCACATCTAGGAGCAAAAGTAACACCTTCCCAGCCCTGAGTGTTACGAGGGTGAGACGGAAGGTCAGTTCGGATGAGCTGTCAGGAGCAGCATTCAGCAATACAGCAACAAGAAGGATATCTTCTTAGTTGAAATAAAAGAAAACAGCTTCTGATTTTATTACAATGTCTAAATCCAAACTGTTCAGTGGATTAATGGGACACGGTCTGCCTGTGACAGGATCCCAAATACTGTCATTAATCAATGGCTCCAAATACCTTTTATCCTGTTTCTCCATTCTTGCATCCCTTCCAGCCTCCTTTTCCAAGACTTTCCCCAGCCAGTTTCAGTATGGGAATGGCCAGTGAAATCCTGGTATCATTTCCTGGAAAAGAGAGAAAAATAAACTCTGGAATGTATCCTTGAATTTCTTCTATGATAGGAACAATGAGGCAATGAAGCAATATAGCATGCATCATTCTTTTGGGCATCCTTTAAACTCTCAGTAATACATTTAATTTAGAACCATTAGAGTGCCATTACATGCTAAATACTTTCTGATACCTAAATGCACAGTGTATTGTGCATTAAGACTTAAAAATCATCTTACACAATAGGTAATTATCTTCCCAGTATTTTGATTTTTAATCTCAAATCATTTCCCATAATGACATTTCTTTCATTGTCCCAGTAATAACTGCCTGCTAAGTTTAGAAATAATTATACATCTTGGGCGTAAGTATTGCTAACCTGTATTGCTAACCACTGCTGAAGATTCATAAGCTGTCAGAAGAAAACTTAACAAGCTGCACTGACCCTTAGCTATCATCCTATGTAACATTTGTCTGTCACATGGTTGTCAAAGCACTGTACATACATTGAGCTAGAAGGCAGCTTTAGCCACTTGTTCATGCAGAGACATAAAAAGTCTCCAGGGACCCTTGAGTGAGCTGCCTAGACCTCGGATCTGCATCCACTGACTTAGCTGGTATGAAGGGTGGTGGAGTTCTGTGCTGGTCTAAATAGCAGGATGGGAGTGGGGAGGGTTTTGCCCAAGTCACCACAGCTGCTGCAGTGATTTTACTATCATTTTTTATTTAATTTGCATCGTCTAACCTATTGTTAACAACCCACTGAGATCTGACATCAAATGATTGTCTTCAGTAGATAAATATACTTTCAGAAGTCCTTCTTTCATTCCTTTAACACAGAGCACGCATTTCCTGGTGTATGTATCACTAAAAATAAGCAGTCTAGAAGTAAATGAGAATGACTTAGAAATCAAAGGAGCTTTCAGCTTGCTGCTTTCTCAGGGAGTGAGCGGAGTCAACTGATAAAATCAAAACCGCAGGGAGGAGGATGCGTTCATGTCGGTAACGCACCGCTGGCCGCCAGGTCACGTTCAAGCCAGAGCTGCAGAAGCCGTTCCCATCACTTAAAGTTATTAGGTTGTGCATCACAAGCACACAGCAATTTTTTATTAGGTTTGTCTTTGTGCATGTCCTCTCTGTGAAAACCATCAATGCACAGTTCTGTGACAGAATGTCAGCATAGATATGTGGGAGAAGAGCAAATGTAATGGTGCCGGTGCAGAAGATATTATTTCAGCCCAAAGAAAATTACACACCTTCATTCCTGCTGACAACCTAAACAATGCGATGCTTGAAACATAAATGATACATTGTGTAGCCGGAAAAGCCATTAGGGATAAGATGGAGAGTGGAAGTGAGCTAACCATCTTCCCAGAACAAACAGCATTTTGCATTTTACATAAGCAAGTTGACAGGTTTTTAAAAATTTACTTCCAGATTTTGCTTTTTGAATAGAAAAAAAATCAACAGCAAGAACGGAGTCCTGACATCGCTCCATGCCGTGCAGCTTGCTCTTCTTCCTGCTGTTAACCTCCAAAGCAGGAAACACACTGATGGATCTGCCCAAGAAATGGCATTTCCAGCCGTTTATCATTAGCCTGAGAAGTCTTAAATATTCCAGCACTTTTCTCACTGCTTCTCCAGCTTTTATCCAAATCCTTGTTGCTTCTAATCATTTAATAATGTTATGAGGACCTTTAGCAAAAACGTTAGAAAATGTCATACATGTCATCTTTATCAGGAATGTAATAAAACAATTACAGTATGCAGGAGACAAGGCCAGTTTCATATTGATCCTCTTTTGCTGCCTTTTTATTTTAAATTAGAGTAATAGAAAATTGGGAAAAGAGTTGGGAGAATAGGAAATAGAAAAGAGTTGGGAGAACTTTCAACAGGCCTTCCAGTCCATCCTTTGCCTTAGGGCAAAATCAACTTTACTTATACCAACTCTGGCAGATACTTGTCTTATCACTATGAGTGTTTTTTAAGACCTGCAGTGATGGCATTTCTATGTGCTCTCTAGACCACTAATTCCTTAAAATTAGAAATTGTTACTTAATGTCTAGTCTAAATTTAATCCTATTACCTTCTGTCCTGTGAAGTGGATGCAGAAAGAATTCCTGCACAAAGGAGAACAGTGAGGATCAAAGCAGAGTGGTAGAGAGGGAAACAGGGTCAGACTGTCCATCCACCTAGACTTACTGATATCATAGCAGAGACAAACTGGTGTAAAAAGGGACTCAGGGGAGGACCAAAGCTCCGGTTCCTCTGAAGAGCTCTGCAGCCTCCTTCCTTACCCTCATGGGACCCCCTGGGGTGTGCAGCAGCCAGGCTAGGGATGCGAGGGGAGTCAGGCACAGCTTTAGCATGCAGCAGCACTGCACAGCATGTCCTGCTCCTCAGTGCAAAGCAGAGAAAACTTGTATTCAGTAGCAGATTGTGGAAAAAGAGTTTACTAATGAAAATAAAGAATACGAGCAGAGGGTGATAGTTCAAGTGTCTGACATACTGAACTGTGTTTTATATTAAATTTCTTTCTCATTGAAAGCAATTTCAAGTTAGAAACAAGTGGGTATGATGTAGAACTTGTTTGCATGGTTTTAATGCTAACGTTTCTCCCAGAAAGCCAAGGAACTGAAGGTGATCTGTCTAATTTCAAGTAGGCTGGCTGTAGCTACTGTACATTGAAATACTCATCTTTTTTTCACTAATTGCTGTGTGGGAGTTATTCACAGAATGAAAGAACCTTTTGTATTTGCTATCGTACATACCAGCTCTAAGACATCACTCCATTATTTTTTTTTACTTCTCTGTCATCAGTACAGGTTAGTATTTTACTATATTAGCAATTATATAAAAAAAATCTTTACTTGAATGATATGGAGAAAGGCATTAAAGACTGAAACTAGGATCTGGTTGAGCAGGCAAGTTACCAATTCAAACACTTGCTGAAAGAAAGCCCCTCTTTAGTAGGAGAGGAAAGTTAAATCTCTCCTGTGATGTTATGAAATGGCGTTTATCTCCTGCTGTATTCACAACAAAGCATTACTCAAGGGCAAACTTCTTAATCGCCGCCTTCAAAGATGGTGGGATTTTATCTGCTATTGTTCTGAGTTTTTGGTTTTTTGTTTTTTGTTTTTTTTTTTTTGCAAGAGAGGTAATCTGAAACCTATATCTTACACATGGATACTCATTAGAAGTGGGAATTTAAGTTTTTCTTGTTTCCACATTCCATTTGAAGGTACTGGGCAGCACTTTCAAACATTTAAACACGCATCTACTTCTCTTTAGAGATCTAAATCCAAGTCAGCAGTGCCAGCACATCTGAAAATAAAAACATACAACTGAAAGGAACATCTTGGAAAGCCAAGTCCAATTTCTTAATGTGTAAGTTGGTCGAAGTCCATTTCAGAAAACATAAAGATACTGACTGAGGAACCTAGATGTCCATGCCTGAGACAGTCAGACAACAGGCTCGAAAAAATTACTTGAAACTCAATATTATGGATATTAGGTTCTGAGGATAAGTATCAGATGAAGAAGGAAGCAGAGGGATGGCATGACAGTATAAAGAAAAAAAAAAAAAAAAGACGACAAACTATGAGAAGGGCTAATCATGAGTAAAAGAATGCCTTCAGTCTCTGTTTAACATGGCAACTAATCTTGGAAACACAGGGGGACCAAATCCTTAAGTGGTCAGTACTGCCATTCCACTGAAGCCTGGAGAGTTGAATCGTGGGATGGTTTAGCTCTAATTGTGTTCAGAGTGATAACTGGACATTAGAAGTAACTATTTAGATCAATGTTTATTTCTAAATGCCACAAAAGAGAACCATTATTATATAATCAGAAGAAAACAAATTCAGTATCAATGAAAAAATCTTGCTTTCTGTGGACAGTGCAGCCCCGTTTCCAAGGGTAGTATTCTTCGTGAACAAGGATGCTTGGTCTCACCATCTTCTGGAGGTACAGCACTAGGGTTGTAATGAACTTCAGCTGTGGAAAAGAATTAGGGAAAATTTTTCATTATAATAATTTGGTTTAATAGATTTAGAAAGAAACCTGTCTGTGCAGAGCTCACTGATTTAACATCTTTGGGGAAATGACAGAAACCAGTGTATTTCCAAAAACAACCAGGAATGCTTGGTGCTTAGGTCAGAATTCCTGTAAAGGTCTTTTTTTCAGAATATGGTTCTGCAACAGTTTATCCATCTTGGAAGGCAAAACCTCCTGCTGGGATTCTTCTGGATTAAACAGGCGCACAGCAGGTCCTGATCAGCTTTCTGTAATCCCAAGATCTTTGCTCTTTTTGTTAATGCATGAGATGATAGACTATGGTGCTCCCTAGCTGGAAGTAGGACCCATGAGAATGACAGCCAGCTGGCCCAGGGTAGAATGTCTCTTAGGTACCTGAGGTGCAAGCTGAGCAGAGAGTTCCCTTCCTTTCGGAGAAGAGCCATACCAGGATCTTAAGGGCTTTCTTACTTTCCTCAGTACAGTTAACCCCAGACTGAAGTCTGGCACAGACAAAGCAGTGAAAGGTTTCCTATTTATTTCCATTGGTTGGGATTTGACAGTCACCATATAGAACTTACTGCATTCCAGTCTATGCTGTGCGCACTGGCTTTCTTACCAATCCTAAAATTCATATCTGGAGAAGTCCTGGGAAGGAAATCTGAACCATTGAAAGTTGAACTTGTTCCATTAGAATTTAGACTCCACAAAGCCTGGGACGGTGATTTGTGGTTTAAATGCCTTGGTGTAGATCCAGCAGTTGTACCTGACCCACTCCAGTCTGAAATCAGAGAGTGGAAGGCACAGGAATAAAATTCTGTACGGGTGTCACATCTCAAACTACGAGAGACCAGGGAGGAGAAAGGTCTCTACTTGCTTCTTGTGCCATCCTTGTACCTGCCCTGAAGCCATGGGCCTCTGTGCAGCACAATGCACAATTCCTGCTGTTAATTTTTACACTAGCTCTGTCACACTTCTGCAGGTGGGGCTGGATACCAGCAATTCAGTCTTCTATTTCCCCTTTAGGGACCTGGTCTAGTAACACTAATTTGGATAAGGACATACCAAAGAAGACAGGAGATACACAAGGGAAAAGAATGGCAGCCTTACCTTATTGTATCATACAGCATCAAGCTGGCTCATACTCAAGGGAAAGTACTCAATGTGCTACTTAGAGCATTTTTACTGAATTTCCTCTCTGCAAATGGAAAGCTACGTATTCCTCAGCAGCACACAATGCACAGGACTGCTGTGTTAATACAGGATTTTTAGTCTGGTTTTCTGAAAAGACTAAACTGATTTACCTTCTCCTTTGTTATACGCATTCATAATGTCAACTAATTCTGACAGACACACAGAGGTACTGAAGTTACTAAATTCTTCCACATTTTTGTGAAAAATCAACATCACTGGGGTGGCCCAGAATAAGCTACAGCCCATGTTATTTCTTGCTGAGCTGGTAGATAGCAGAGTCTTAGAATAATTTAGGTTGGAAGGGTCCTTTGGGGGTCTTCACTCCAACCTTCACTCCTGCCCAGATTTGGATCAGGTTGGTCAGGCACCTGTCCAGCTGAATTTTGACTCTCCATGGAGAGAGGTTCTCTCTACTGCCTCTCTGGGCCACTGTCCCAGAGGAGGCAGTAGAGAGAATTAATTAGGAGTCTAAATAATTTAGCTACAATCATTGTGAAAAATTAGTTTCCTTATAAATGATGGGAATTTCCGTAGCTGTGATTTGGGTGCACTGCCTCTTGTCTTCTTGCTGTGCACCTCTGAGAAGAATCTATCTGTTCTCTATAGCCACCCCTCAGATAGCCAAAGACAGCAATTGCATCTCCCTTCTCCTTCCCAGGCTGAATAAACCCAGCTCCTATGCATAAAGATTAGCTCCTAGTATGTCCAATATCCTGCATAAATTTCTGAATCTTGTCTTTATGAAGACTGGAAGGCCAACAAAAAAAACATAGCTCACATAAGGGAACACTGAATGGCATGTGAGAACAGAATAAGAGACCTGACTGAAATCTTTTTTGCAAATCCATGTTTCTTACTGCATGCTGTCACCCCATCATCATAACATATAAGCAGGTAATGGAAGAGGACAAAAACCTTTTAGAGAACAATTATCCAATGCAATGCAGAAAGGCTATTCAGGGGAGCCTTATTTCCTAATGTAGAACAAATGTGATGCCAGTAGCAGGCAAAGACTTATGAGTCAGGCTAAACAAAACCCCTCAATGCTTACCAGGATAATTTCTCAGACGCAGTCTTTCCCAGCAAAAGTGTACTTGGCACTGCTTCACTACTTCTTCCTTCATTAAGCAGTGAAACACAAAGATAAAGAACCCTAGAGAAGTAAGAAGAGAAATTCACAGGTTTTCAGGTGGATTCTCCAACCTGCTCTCCCTTCTCTAAACTTTTTCTCTGCCACTCAGTTACCAGTATGTTATGTATGGGCAGAGAGGTGCTCCCTGGGCCGGCAGCATGTTGGCCCAGAATGGTACCTAGTCCTTTGTGCATATGAAAGGGTAATGGGAAGAGCTTGCTGCAGATTTGTTCAGAGAATAATCTGCAAGTCACTGTAGATTCTATCAACTGTTTTTATGCCCAGTTCAAAAGGATTATGTCAGCCCCTGAAACGATGCGTTTATTGGAACCCACTTTCAAAGGCATAGATTCATGTCTTTAACAGCGTATCTATCACAGCAGTGCTATCTAAACAACACTATTATCCCACTGCAGTGGAGCTTTCCTATGCAAATAGCTAAACACTGTAACACAAAAGTTATATGAGCACTCCTCTCCCCCCATTCTTGAATTACATGACATTACAAATTTATTTCTACTCCACAGCCCTAAACTGTTATATTTATAGCGGTACTCCATTCAGAAATTACCTTGCAAAGTGTTAAAAATGCTGAAAAGATACAAGAAAAATATCCTCACTGCTCCCCAGGCAAAAAAGACAAAGCCCCAAGTTAAGCCCAAAAGGAACATCAAGCTGAAAGCACTTTTGAGGTCTCGAAGAAAACCCCGTTTCCAGAATCTGGATCTCCTTTGTGTCCTTGACTTCACAGACTGGATTTGAAGCAGAACAGTGATGAACATGGCTGTATTCGTCAAAAATATTAAGAGGACGTAGGCCACAACAGACATGTAAAACACTATGTCCTCCTGAATCCAGCAACTGCAAGAAAGGCAGATAAGTATTCAATAAGAAGTTTTCTGAGTAGTGAAACTAATCAAAGCCTGGCTTCCAAAATAAGCATCCTATATGGTTTTCCAGTACCTAGTAAGAGGCATTCTCTAATGCCCATTACTTTCCCCCAGTGAGGACATTCATAGAATCTTTCCACTTGCCTTTTTTATTAATGTTATCGGAATTCAACAACTTTGAGACTTTAGTATTTCTACTAAATTCAGATAAACTTGACAGTTGTTTCACAACTTAATGTGTACACACAAAGACACACTGCCTTAGGAAAACTAAGTTAAATACAACTTAATTAGGAGTCTAAATAATAGTATAGCACAGAGATGAGCACTGGTTAGCTTTTTCTCAGACATAAATTAGTGAGTTTTACTGCCTTTTTGCTAAAGATGGGAAACAGTTTTCCCTCTGAGGTGTCATGGGTGCGTGTTCCCTCTCTGGTGGTATACAATTCAAATATTTCAGGTAATCTTCACCAGCAGTGATCAGATTGTGCTAAACAGAAAGCAGGTGAAAAAAAAATGGAAGCATTCTTTGCTATAAAACCGTTTCTAAAAAGGAGGAAAGAATGCCATGTTTTCTCACTAGAAAAGAGAGGAGGTTGAGATGATTTAAATAAAGGAACTTGAAGAAACAACGATATGAATGGAGATTAAAAAAAAAAAAAAAGAAGCAAATGTTTAAAATACTAGAACAATTATTCTGCCTTTAGGTTTTGCCAGAAATCTAGAACATGTAGGAGCATATAAAAATGTCCCATCAGACTCAGTTAATGTGATGTAAAAAAATAAATTTTTCCAGAAAGTAAAATGGAGTTGACTGGCAGAAGCCCTCCCTGTTCTCAGGCCCAGTCCACTGATGCGAGTGTTACTCCATGTGGTAGCCATACATCCAAAATTATACTGTGAGCCAGAACCACTAAAAGGAGAGGATTAAGGTGGGGGGGAAGAAAGACAAAAGCAAGAGAGAAGTTGCTGCCTTCTAGTTATTTCTTGTATCTTTAAGTTACTCCAGTGACCAGCAGAAAGCTTAGAGTATTATACTTACAAATTGCTGAATGGATTGCTCTCAGAATGTGATCCATTGCCATAAAAATCTTTATTGATAATGAGCACAATAGTAATTACAATAGCTGGTATTCCTAATATGGAAGGCAAGAGAAAAAGAGATACTTAGATTAAAAATTTAAAAATGGAGACTGTGGAAAGATATCGGATCAGATAATCTCTGATGAGAACAGCAGACATGTACATCTTAGGATCAAGCTCTACCTCTAAAGCTCCTTCTGAAATGAGTGTAATTACATGTGTGGCATAGCAGGTTTAATCTCCTTATTTATATAAATTACAAATGAGTAGGCATAAAAATATCTGTGTTTGCAAAATGTTTATGAGTGTTCAAACATCTCCAGAAGGGATCCAATCTGGTAAAATAAAACCAACTGATTATTACAAAAAGCAGAGTGTCAAAAGATAAGCAGACCACAGCATTTTGTGTTAAGATCTGACAGACATCTTCCAGACAGTGTTTTAGCAATCTTCCCTTCCACTCATTTCCCATATTTCTTTCAGTTTTGGCTTTTCTTTTGAGAACTGCTGCTGCCAACACCACCATCATGGATGGCTGCACCTGAGAACAATTATGAGTGACATCAGATCTAAGGATAGAGATCATGATACACTGCATGCTATTCAAAAGCCTAAAACCCCCTTTAAAACAGCATCTAATGGTGACCCAAAACATACAGACCAAATTCTGCTCTGGGTCAGTGCCTCTGAGAACACCTTCTCTAACAGCTGAGCCAGCGTTTTGGATCCTTTCTGTTATGTTTCTCCCAAACAAGTATCTGATACTCAGTGCTTGGAGAAAAGGTGAATCAGTGAAGTCCTCAGGAGAGCTATGAATGAAAGCCAAATCCAGCCCCCATGGGGGAATCATTTATAAAATGGCAGGTAGGGACATGAGGCCTGGAGAAGGAGATCAGAATCACCTCTGAGCATCACCAATGCAGGGACAAAGACTGTGGGCAGCTCATACTTCCTCAGACACATCCACTGACATGAGGTACCATAAATCATTCCTGTAAAGAACAGGAGGGGTAGGGAGAGCAGCTCCTTACGCCCACTTTTGCCTTTCCTTGCATGTGATGCTGTGCAGGGAGCAACAGGCACTTTCTGCTAATGTCTGCTTGGGCAGAAGAAACTTAAACTGAACCTGCGTGTGGGAAGAAATCCATCCTTACGGCTCAGTGTCATCCTACGAGCTCAGTGTCCTGACTTTTACAAATATGTCCCTATCTTAGAGAAGTTACCAAGCACAGAAGTGGAGAAGAAAGACACTTACTCACCCCAGCCAGCAATACAGCATTTTAGGATGTACTTTGGGACATAAACATTGAAGACTTTAACAAGAGCCAAGTAAAATTGAACAGACTCCAGGCACATCCACGTGAAAGCTGCAAGAAGGAAATAATGAAGGAGCACGGCCACGGTGATACAGAGACCTGGCTGGTTGAACGAGGACAGCCAGGAATTGATGAGGAAGACCATGTTCAGCATCAGCAGCGCAGCACAAAGATTGAGCAGGATTTTTGAAGGGTTGTCTCTCCGCAGCTTTCTAAAATGAAAGGGAACATCCATAAGGTTATCACTGCATGACTTGTGCTGGGTGCATTCACTAATGCGAAGTAGCACAAATGTATATTCATCATATTACAAATCGGCTTCTTGTGGTATAAATTGTATCTACATTGGTGTTTATATCACATCACTAGTTTGTTTTTGAAGCAGATCTCCCAGCCTGAAAAAGCAGAGCTTCAATACGTATGGAGACCTGCTAGGTTTTTCACACTTGGTGGAGGAGAGACAGACGTAACATCATCTTTTCATTACTGCATCAAATATTATTGTTATTGCAATATTACTAGGTTGTGAAAGCCCCCACAGTTACCTAAGTCTAGGGTCCCATCATGCCAGGAGCTACGGTCACATACAGTATAAAACAAAACCTATCCAAAAGGACAAAACACAAGAAAGACTAAGAGCAAGAGAAGAGAAAAGTTTCCCTATTTTACTGTTGATACCATCCAATGTACAGGGAATATCCAAGACTGCTGGTGTTATCCAATGTGCAGTCAATACACAGGGAATATTCCAGATTCTTGGCATGATATCTTACCCATGTCCATGGGTAAATTTATGAAATTACAGAAATTTAGGAACATAGAAGTTGCTGAAAAGTTCAGACTAGTGTTTATATTGAAGCATGAATTTTTGAATCCCTTTTATTTCACCACAGTCACAGATCAGACTAAAGCAATATGTATACTGTCCACTCACAGTCTTCCCTCCTATGCATCACAGCATCAAATATTACTAAACATTCCAGTAGTTGCTGCAAATTCATTATTGCTAAAATATTAAAAGTGATATAAGAAAAAGGATCAGACTTACTCAAGGGCTAGATATGTCACCAGTGTTATACCCAGAAAAAGGGAAGAAGCACCACATCCTGCGTAGCTTATCAGAGTTAATATGTGATCGTGTGTGATATCTATCTCTGTCCGGGACAAGTCCTATGACACAAGATAAAGAATCACTGTTGTTTGCCATAGCAGATAAAGAAAATTGCTTCCCACATTTTCACATTGATAAAGAAATCAATTTCTGTTCTGCTTACTGGGAAGTTTCCATTCATGTTTTTATGTGTTTCTTATTGTATAGTCCTACAGAATATCTAACCTAGTAAAAATATACTGTACTTAAAGTGCCCAGCAATAAGTTGTGAGGCTAGAAAATCTGTACTTCAGAAACCACAAGTTCAACAAGGATTCCAGGATCTTGCCAAAATTTTTGCACTGGGAGCTTGCTTTGTAAGAGAAACTCTACTTTGTTTCAGTGGCAGCTGCCGCGCTGGGGAACTGCACAAACCTGCTAAATGTCTTGGAGCGCGGGAGGATCCTGCACATCCAGAAAGCATCCCTCTTCTCCACAGCTGCTGCCAGGAGTAATATCGAGAGGGCATTGTTGTTGCCTGCTACAATTTCTCTTCTATTTGGTGAAACTTCAAGCTTCAGACTAGTAACCTACATCTCTGATGTACAATCGAAGGTGCTGTTAAATACTCGGAACTGTGCTGATCACTCAAGTGGCAGTGCAGAAGAGGTGTGACCTTAAAATCAGACTGAATTCTCTTTGCTTGAATGGAAACTTTGTCAAGTTGCCTGAAATCTGTAACATCTAAATTCCTTTCTGTAGAAGTCACATTCTTACTTCAAGGGAGGGCTTCCATGCCTCTCTCAGAGCAGGGTAATGGTGACTTCTAGGGGGAGCTGAGCAAGGGTCTGAAGGCCAAGGGATGGCCTTGCCCCATCATGTAGGTTGTATCCCACTGGGATTAGAGAACTTTAATCTACTCCATTTCCTTGGAATTTGCCTATCCCTTTGCATTTGTTGCAGCCCATTCTCAGGCAGTCATCTAATTTTTTGACATTCAACTTTTAGAGGCAGTTTTCTCTCTATTAATGACATCTCCTGTATTTATATTAAACTTCCCTTTCTGACAGAGCATAGATAAAACTTTCAGGAAGATGTAAGATCATTAGTTGCCACTGGCAGGTAATAAATTTAACACAGTATTTCCAACGCAGCACATAACACATTAACGTTGATTAGGTTACATTGCAAAGAAGCACAAACAACATCTGTAAAATGAATTTGCCATGAAGCAAGAGACATTTAGAGGACTTTATACTATAAAAATTATTATAACTGTTTTGTTTGTTATTACTGATTTTGGCAAAATTGCAGATATCTAACAGGTTGTATAGATATGAATCTCCCATCTCTCCCCAGAACTAGCAATGACTTTGTTTAGTGCCACGGGACTTTTTTGGAGATGATTCACAGAGTACTTACCAGTAGGACTCCAAAATGGGTAAGATGGTTACAAAAACAGATTGTGTAATTCATATCTGTATATTCCATTTCACACCCCGATGTATTCCAACCACCCAGTCCATCTGTGTAATAGAGAAAAAGGGATTTTTAAGCAGAGTTAGTCATGCTCAGTCATTTATAGCTCTGCAGCACGCAGAATGTGTGAATATGAGCTCAAGTTAGTACAGATTGCAGGGTCATTTAGCAGCACACGAGTGAGATTTCACACAGGAACACATCTTATATAGTTGCCTGAGAACCTCAAAACTTGGATGAAAGCCTTTGGTGGAATGAAGAAATATTTGAAGTCATTTACATGCCTGCACATGGAGAAAGCAGGAAGGTAAGGAAAAGCGCGCTGGACTAGATTATGCTGCAGGGTGTGGAAACACAGACGGCAAGAAATATTTACAGAGCAGAAGGTTTGTTTAGGCAAAGCGTAGCATTGAAAAATCCAAATCTTCCCTTCTGACCCTGTTTATGTGGCATGTATGACATACTCAGAAGCTAAGCTCCTGATTTAAAAACTATATATAATCCAACACCAGTAATTGCAGAGAAAAGCCCCTCCCACATGTTCTGAGTTACCACAGTACTTCTGTGTCTGTTGACTACCTGAGCCATATTCAAGACTTGACCACAGCAAAGCCCTCACTGACTTCCCTGAAGTGTGAGGTCATCTGACATTTCATTGCATTTCTGCTTTTTTTTTTTAGTCTAAGTCTTCTTATTCATGTGGATGCACCATTGTACAATGCCAGACATGTATCCTCTAGTAGTAGCACTGATTGCCAAGGAGTCAATGTCAATGGAAACCAGGAACAGACTCAACAGGACAGCCTCAGAGTTTCAAGCTGCAATGTCAAGGAGCCAAAGGCTCTGTGAGGCTGGTGACAGAGCAAGCATGGCAGCTCTGTAAATAACACTTACTGTTCTTCCAAAAGTCCCAAAAGACGCAGTGCACTGCTGCATTACCCTGAAATCAGAGAAAAAGAAGGCTGTGACATTTATTCAGTACGTCTGTACACCACCTGCACTTGCAGACGGTGCATCTTGCCTGTAATCAGGGTTTATAACTAAGGCAATTTGATTTGATTTCCCATGTCCTGAAAGCCCCCTGATCTCTGTGGCTGTTTGCATGGTGGTGCCGCCAAGGGTCTGCAGGTCACCGAGGGTGCCAGCAGTTCAGGAGCAGTTGGGCACTTGGTCATTGGGAACCAGCTGGGATATCAGCCATCTCACCCATGGCACTGAAAACCAGCAGAGGATCCCAACTTCTGCCTTCTCCTTTACCAAGGGAAATCCTGGGAGGCAGTGATTTTCCCAGTTTCCCCAGTCATTCTGTATCTTGTATTGTCTTTCAAGGACAGCAGAAAAATCTGACAAGCTGTCCAGCTTAGACCAATTCCAGTGTCTGATCTCGTAGGCTTCATGTGGTATCTGAGATGTCATACTGAATTACTGGTGAAATTCAAAATTTATGACTAAGACCTAGAATAAGAACCTGAGATTTTATACAATAAAAACCAAAGCCAATTCTCAACACAAGAAAACCTTTTAGAATTTCAGTGTTTCCACTGTCTCTGAAACCAGGCAGGGAAGACACCTAAGAGAAAATAAAGCTTGCCTGCATATTGCAAACAGCTGAACAGATTTAAATGGGTATTCAATGCAATGTTTTCCCTTGGGGACATTCTAGTTTATTACTCATAATGCTGCAGCAAACTTTCCCAAGGCACAGATTCATTTTCTTTTATTATTAATAAAGTCTAATAAAGCACAGAGTTTACAGGAAGCCACCCTAACAGATAAGCTGTTAAGATGTGTGATCTGTAGACTGTCAAATATAATTAGGCAGAGAGCCAGAGATGTAGGTTAGGATGATATCTCATTAAACATTTAATTAGGATATTTTTAAAAGGTCGAGGAAAAAAATCTGAGAGGTGCCAGATGGCCTGGTGGAGTAAAAATGACGGAAGAGAGGGGATATCTAGATGAAATTTCTGCGTATATCTTATTTGCTAGAACTGAATGGAAAGAACACATTGCCATATAAGCAGCATTTTCAAGCTCTCATTAACTTGAACTTTAATCAAATTCATCTTATTGGATAATTTTGTTCTGCCCTGGATTTGCAATATATTGGGGGGGGGGAGGGCTGGACCATAAACAGTTGCAACACAAAAATGTTAAGGTGGAACCCAGTCAACAAGTTTGACCCATGCCCATCAAGAATAATTTATGATAGATTTTAGTTTTGAAACATCGTTTTCAAACAAAACAAAGCAAATTAATTCTGAAAACATCTATGCAATGTTTTTTTTTTTTTTTTTAAATTTACCTCTTCTGGTGACTAAAACAATTTGCTGAATTCAGAGCAAGTACAAATCATTTCAGTCAAATCCAAAACCTGACAGTTTTTCAGCAAATAAACTATTCCTTGAAAAAAATTGCCCAGATCAAACCAAGGAATCAGTGAAAATGTCCCTTGCTGCTAAACATGGATTTAGTGGAGACTCAAGCTTTACTAACCTGCAGGAATTAAACATCAAGATCTGTGTGGCCTGTCAACGTTCTGATTGATATATCATGGAGAGGTCAGGCAGCGAATTGTTTTAAGCTTATTTGTCCCATTGCCAGTTTATTTTAAGGGTAAGTGAAATAGGCTCTACTTCAACATGTCTCTGATGTAATGAAGGCATCCTACCGTATTTTGGTCTATGTGCTGAAGAGTAATAGTCACAGGCTCATTAAGGTTCTGAATTGATGCGTTTTCAATGCTGGCACTCACAACGTAAGTATTCAACCTCTCCTTCGTTAAACTGTCATCCTGCAGTGGAAAAATACACGCATGCAAAAAAAAAAAAAAATCCAAGCACTTCCTGCTTCCATTTTTTTAAACTGTATTTCTTGGAAATGGCGATCAGCTAAACACCAAGGGATGCCTGATGTAATTTAGCTCCTTGCTACTTCATTAGAAAATGTAGTTAGTTGCAAATTCAGAGACAGTCTTCACATCAGATGAAGCAGAACAGAGTTTCAGATGCATCAGCTGGATTGAGAAAGCTGTATAATCGTTTCAGTACATCAAAACATGCAGTTGTACATCATTAAGCTCATTAGACAGTAGACACAATTGCGAGTGCTTCTTCTGTGTGAAAAGCATTGCTCAGCGCACTGTATGCTCCATCATACCAAAAGAAATAGCTCCCTTTCAAATTACACTCACCCACCCCCCCCAAGTTAAGAAAGCATAGCAAGTGCTAGAATAGTCCTAAATGCTGCATATCAGTGCTGCTATTATTTTAATGGAGACATAAATCTTGAAATTATTTTCATGATATTTGACATGTGCTATGCACATTCCTTAAGCAAGAGCTTACTATCAGAGGAAGATTAGGGTATATTCTTTTCTACAGAAGAGAAGTATTAGAATAACATCAGCTACAGAAAATGAACAAAAAGTCTAAGGTCTACAGACACCTCTCAGAGCATCGTTGCTACAGAGAAGGTTTTGCTGCCTGGGTGCACTCTCTATGCACATTTCTTAGTGCTCCATCAGTCTGATGCTAAATGTGCCCAGAACAGATGACGCTATTGGGATTTTTCTTTTGTACACACTAAGAACAGCTGAACCAATTACTGCTGCGTTAGTGTTTGTTAGGAGTTGTAGTTACCGCAAAGAGTGAAGTAGTGCCAAAAAACTTGAACTGGATCTTTGAATGCTTGTCTGGGTCAGAGTGCTCAATTCCTAGGAATTTCTTCAGTGATTTTGGCAAAAACACCGAAGCCGGGGCCATTTTGAAAGGGTTTTCTTGAACACTGATCTGCAGGAGAGAGATACGACATGCTGAGAGCTGCCTTCATCAGGTCAAACACACAACGGTACAAAATAGCAGGATTGTGTGGTTTATTCAGCAGTCCCTGGGGTGATGCTTTGGTCTCACCTTGAGATCCACACCTTTGTCGTAGGAGGTAACGCCAAAGGCCAGTCCTCCAAACATGCTGGGATCTGGACGCATCACCAACAAAGCCAAGGAAGTGGTTATCACTGAAGTATTTCTTTCTGTGTAAGTCACCTTATAGCCTATCTCCTCAGTTGTCTTCAGGATACTTTACCAAGAGCAACAGCGAGGAAAAAAAAAAAAAAAAAAAATGGAGAGAGACAGCTTTTGAAATGTTCTCCTGGCTTCATAATATGCATCCAGGAGACAATCAGCTAAAAACCTCTGCTCTGATTGATGATCACAAGGGCCAATCACTAGAGCAGAATGGGTCCATCTTGGGGAGGATAGCATTTTGTCTGGCACAGGGTCAGGTGATGGTAAGCAGCGTGTTTCGGTAGACTGAAAGTCTGGCAGGTGGAAGATACCCTCCTGTGGGGACAACCTTCCTGTGGTTCTGGGAAGACCTGAGTCAAAATTCACACCCGGTCAAACACTGAATTTTATCTGGAAGGCAGGAAGTTGTAAAACCCGCTAATTTCATTATTTGCAATCATCTAATTGTACCCTCAGGTAAAATATCAGACCCAGAATAATTTAGTCTGCAAGGGACCTCTGGAGGTCTGTACTCCTGCTCCCCACCTCCCCCAGGCAGAGCATACTTTAAAGGTAGGTCAGATGCTCAGGGTCTTGTCTAGTAAAGCTCTGAATATCTCTCAGGATGGAGATTTCACAGGCTTTCTGGGCCCTGCTCTCAGTGGGTTTTTTTCCTAAGTAGAGAGAAGAGGCTGGAATCCAAAGGAAGCAGTAAATTAATGTTGTTTAATAGTCATGTGTACCAAGAGTCAGAAACAGCTCCACATGTTTGGTCACCCTTAAAGCTATTCAGCGGTATGCAAGAAGGGATGATACTCTACTGAAAATGTGTATGACAGCTGGCCCTGGCAGACTAAAGGAAAACCTTCCTGTCCTTCTTTGCCTGGTGTTGTCTTCATGCATCGTTGGTCCCAGACACAAAAGGACCCCCATAGGAACCTTTCAGCCACAGCTGCCCTAGAGCTGCAAAGTCTGGAGTTCAACTTCCTCAGAATACTTGGGATCAAAAATTTCTACTGAGGCCTGGAAAAAGGAGCATAATAGCTGTTGTGAGGATATGCTAGCAGTCATCAGGTATCACCATAGTGGTTGTGCCCTTCTGAGGTCTGATTTATGGAGAAATTAAAATACCTAAGATTCTCTTGTCCATAAAAATTGTAAAGACATTTTTATTACAACTCATACATACCAACTCCATCCTCATTAAGGATCAGGAATCCAGAGCCTATTAGAATATCATCCTTGTCCCTAAACCCTTACATTTCACAGGAGGCGAATCCGAAGTAATGGATAGTTCACTTCAGAAAACCCCACAGCCTATTTGAGAAGGCAGAGGTGTAGAGTGCTGGCAGCTATCACAGCCCCCACTCCACACACCGCAGTGCGGTAGACTTTGAAGAGAGAGCATACAGCCAAAAGGATCACGATGCTACTCAGTGCTTTCTCTCCAGCAGATTTTCTAAGCTATTTTTGGTAGTTTCTTCTTGTGGACTCCTGAGTTTGAAAAAGCAATGCATAGATGTCCAGTGCAAACAATGGGGCTGTTGCATAGTCTACAGCCAACCTAGAACTTAAGTGGAAATTTAATTTTTCTTTTGATATTTCTTATTTTAATATTTCTTATTAAAATATTGCTTTACATTAAATGAGAGAAAACTGCAGATAGGCGCAGTCTTCCATATGAGAAATGCTGAAAGACTTTTTAATATGATGAACACCACATCTCTTACACTGTTGGTTAGCACTGGATTTGCCTGTGCAAAATAGAATAATCTTTCCTACTTGAAGGTTCAGGCTGTGCAGTGAGAAGTGGGTAAGCTGTCTTGCCCAAATCAGAAATGAGTAAACTCTGTGCATTTGCCTTTGTAAAGGCTGGCAGTAGTTTTCTGAACAGTGTGCTGCTCAGCCACAGAAGCCAGACATTTCAAAACCAGGTAGTTGAGTTACCTTTAAGATCTCAAAGGAGAGATGTTTTTCAAGTTATCTAGCAACCTCAGTTTTAGCACGTGTGAGAATCATGTAAAGGACATAGGACCCTAAATGTAGATTTTGAAGTCTAAGCTTGAACAGCTATGTTTGAAAAATCTTTATCGGCACAGATACAGCGCTCCAGCCTGGTGTGCTGGTGGAACAGACACGTGTCTCCAGGCTGACCTGCCAACAGACCTGGCTGCTGAGCTGTAAAGATCAGCCCTGAGCTGGGCCGGCAGCCCGGCAGCCTCCCTGACCCACCTCCAGGCTGAGATGCCCACAGAGAACAACTCTGCAGAACTGGTTCTGGTAAAAGCACCTTTGACAGCACAATAACCAGTCTCTGCTGCTAAGAACCACAAACATGTTTAAGATCCAAGTACAGAAATTGCTAACTCTTGTGGTGATATTTTAACAGACTGAATGAATTACTCTGTGGTGTCATTTTAGCTTAGGAAGCCACTTCTGGACAAGTTATCTTACTTACCTATTGGTCATTTTCCTAATGTTCTGATCTTCTGTTTCTTGCAGCAAAATATAGTTTAGTACAGACAATATAGACTCTGCAAGTGTTGTGCTTATATCTGCAAGCCTTACGATATCCGAAATTTTACTTGCAATGATTTCCAATTCTTCCATATTCGGTGTTGCATCTGGCAAGAGGTATAAAATATGCTGTACAACATCTTGTGCATTTTCTAAAAGAAAAAAAAGAATACAGATGATTTATGTGGCATAGCTGTATGTCTAGCTATATAGCTACATCTCTCTATGTTAAAGCAAGAAGTTAGTTTGCTTCTCTTCTCTTTCTATAGGGTCATAATGCTGCTGATCTATGACAAAATTATGTCCCAAAAATAAGTCAGTAAGCCCTCAACATGTCAATGAAACTGGTAAAAACTTCAGAGTAAAATCTGGATATCTCGGGTTATATTTTAAAGGACGAAAACAATGTACTTCTCCTAAGAATACTATCACCTTCTTTTGGATTATAAAGAATATCTGTAAATAATATTTAGTTTTAACCTTGGACACATTTACTAGCGTTTGTGAGTTCAGAATTACACAAGATCCTCCCCTCTCCCCAAATACTGCTTAACTGGTATAGCAGCAAAAGCAAATTCTGAATGGTATACTTTGAAAAGTTGTATTTGCCATTCATCATCTCATCATCCTTCTATAATTTTTTTATAGAAGCAGAGTTTTACACCCTGGGAGTCAGACAGTCTGTATGCAACTGCAGATATCTTTCAATGATCTATTATTTGATGGAACTGCTGAGTAGGTGGATAAGCTATCGTATTGGTTTTGTTCACCATTCAAACAACTTGCACTGTTTGGTATAGCTTAAAAAAGATATAATTAGGTGGTAAAGGTTATTTTGTGGCTTACATGAATTACAGCACAAAGTTTTCAATTCCATACACTGACTTGGGCTTCTTTGTATGAGATATTATGAGATACTTTGATGCAGTATCAAAGAGAGTATGGACAGGCAAAACTTGTCACATTATTCATTGGTTATTTACTTCTAAATCTAAGTGTAGGATTTGAGACAAGTCTTCAAAGTGCTAGCTAGAGAATTTTGAAGCACCTGCAAAATTCATCTACATTAAAACCACTTTAAGATGACCAGGTAAATAGGGTGCACATAAAACAACCTTATCACTTCAGTTCTTCAGATGTCCAATATCAGCATTATCTGAGTGTAACTATTTTTACTTTGATTCACCTTGTCACTGAAGTATCTGGTGCCTTACCTTCCGTTATTGTGATATCGTGGAGGTCTAAAATATTATTTGGAAGTTCTTCCAGTAATTTACATTCGGTCATATTTGGTTTCTTCCAGAAAGATTGCTGAAGTTCAATATTAATTGCACTGAGAAATTAAAACAGTGTACATTGTTACAAGAAAAAATATTTAATAATATATTTTAATGTTTTAACTTTAATAAATATCTAATGTTCCTCATATTTCCCATTTAAGTAGTTAAGAATGTAATTTATTAGCCCAATTTTGAAAGCTGACTTGCAAGCCAGGTCTGACTTAGCACTCATTTAGCAGAGTGGAAGCAGAGCCCAATGCCAGAGCAATTTGAAATGCATCTGGAGGCACTGGAGGGCAGAGAGCCATGAATGGGTGACACAAAATGCTTCAGTGCCTCTGTTTCCCCCTCCCCGCTCAGGCAGAAAGTCACTTTCCTACTAGGCTGGCCGGCGCTTGCTGCAGACGGTGGAAATCTTGCGAGGCGCCCTGCCCCTGCAGCCCGTGCGGGACTGGCTCCGTGTGCTTGGCATCTTCCTTGGCATGGCGCTGCGGCGTGCCATGACAGACTGCCATCTGGCTCCCCACCACGCACAGCCCAGAGCTCCCTCCTGTTTGCCCTGCAAGAACCAAAAGGAGACGTTCTCACCACTCACCAACTCCTCCGAGCGGACTGCAGAGGGTTTTTCCTGCAGCTGACCTCCGCTTCGGTAGCTGGACTTGTTAGCGGCCAGGAATAATTCCCCTTGTAGGTTGTGTGTGAAAAGCTTTCTGGACAATCCATTAGTGCTGAGGAAGAAGCACATAAAAGCTCTTTAAAAAGATTTAGTAGTCGAAAAGAAGAACCCCTTGACACCCAGAGCCCCAGCTGTTCTCTGGACCTCCTTTCCTGATGGGAATGAGATGTAATTTGCAGACTGGGTAGGAGTATTTTACAAGTTTACTGGCTGCAAGAAAACATTTTGTTTACATATTTAATCTGTTCTTCTACAATCTTTTTCTCTTTTATCTGACAAGGTCAGTCCTCAGATAAAATGTTAGTTTCCCAGCGTCACAAACAGTGTTTAATGACAGTACATCCTGTGGGCTTTTCTAATCTATCGGAAGGTGCTTTCACACTGCCCCTCATTATCCTATCAATGTCTTTCCTCCAGGCTTGTATTTTTATTGTCTGCAGCTGATCTTTTGTAAGTCTGGTATAAAATGTGTTTTTGAATTTTGGGTACAGCCTGTTAGCTCTTATCTCTGGCTCAGTTCTGTATTTTAAGGAGCGATAGAGATTGTAACCAAGCCAACAAAAAGATTATTTGCCATTTGAGGCTCGATTCAATATGTGCTGGCATTAAGCAAATGTCGGCAATGGGTTTAGTTTCGGTGTTTGCCTCCGGTCTCCCTCAGTAGCCAGGCTCTGGGGCACGGGCTGTGAGCAGGGGATCCTGGATTTGCAGCTGCCTCACCCTGACCTTGCCTTCGGTGCAGAGGTGCTCAGACCTGCCTTGGCACCAGGATTCAAGTTTCAGCTTACCTCCGTTCATCTGGAACCCAAGTTTTTGATTTTGCTCTCATTGCAAGATGTTCGACAGCATCAGATGAGGTCAGTCTGGCTACTTGTAAGGATGTTTTGTAGCTTAACCTCTCCACAGAATTTAAATGCAATAAAACACTTGTAGCCAGAATTACAAAGCAAGTGATTTCCAATTAAGTTTTAATGAAGTATTACCTATTGCCCTGACAGCCACATCTTCAGGTTTCACATATAAGGATAGTGGTCCCTCTTTGTAAGTGTCATTCAACAACTGTTTGATCTTGAGACTCAGCACTTCTTGTATTTCAGGTGATGTGGCCTTTATAATGGCCTTACAGGTGTAGCTACAAATAGAATACACAAACAAGGCTACCATATTAATATCATTTCACAATTATAAATGGCTACAGAATTAGAGAGTAACCCAGAAAATTATACTGAGTTGGATCATTTATGTATGTATTTTGTTCCCCGTAAGTGCAGCCCTATGGCAAATGTCGGCAAATGTCACCAAATGTGTGTACACTAGTACCTTATCACTGGAAATGCTTTCTAAAGTACAAATTATTGGGAATACAGATACAAGAATCTTATAGTTTCATGGTAAATACCTCAGTTTCCTAATCACATTATCTTGGCAAAGGAACATCTGTCACAAGCAAGCATTTTCCAACCATGTTTTAAAGTTTGGAGTGAGCTAGTCATAAAACGATGAGGTGCCTGAGCACCCCTGTGTCTAAACAGAGGTGGCAGACTCCAAGGCTCCATGGAAAACTGAGATTTAACTAACTGCTTTCAGTTATCTTGACTGGATTCCAGGTTTTTCTCCTCAAAACAGCCATTCTTCTGGATAACTATGTTTGGTGACTTTAGGAGGTTTGAAGAGACTGTTTCTCTCTTTGAGTGGCTTCAGACATGACAGAAAGATGCAAGAAGCCAGCTCTCAGTTGTAGGTGGATCACCTCAATGGACCTCTAATTCAGCTGAGGACTAATGAGTGAGATTTCCATAGGATTGGGATGTTTCAGGTGTTTCCAACTCACTCCCACCTCCTACAGTGCAGCATAAACCTCCCAGCTCGCCGTGGAAGTACTGTGAGCCTCCCAAGACATGGAGCAGGAGAGGGAAACCTCGGATGCTCACATACATTTCCCCAAGTCAAGAATTACTGAATCCACATGTATTTTTCTGTTTTATACAGCTAAAGGTTCCACATTTATTCTGAAACTAAAACAGCTAAGGAGGGCTATAATTCCTCCTGACTCTAAAAATGAAATCAATATGAACTATGGAAACCCAGTTCTTAACCATGGGTCTTACCTTTGTGACATCTGCTTTACCTTCATCTTCAGTTTGCATAGAAGGACACAAAAAATTAGAAGCTCATTAGAATCAACTGACACAAGTTGAATTTGAAGGAAAGCAAACAACAGAAACTCAGTGTGCTCATTAAACTAGAGCAAATTGCTTTAAATGTTACTGGGACCTGACTCTCTAGAGTAGCTTTTGTTTCACAGTACTTCTAGAGGTACATCAGAATAAACCAGAACATCATGGTGCCTTGATGCTGCCTCCTGCAGAGAGCAGAGCAGATCTACAGCTAACGCTGTGCAGTGAGTGTGCTCACCAGAAGGCTATTGCAAAGCACTGCTTGCAGATGGTGCCAGGCCCACCCAGCAATCCTTTGTCTGCACAGAACATAGCAGTATCTATTGAGACACAGTGGCTCTCCAGCCCAACTATTTACATGGGGTACACCTACCAGATTGAAGGTCAATATTTAATAATTTCAGCAAAACACAATAGTATCAGCATTTAGACCATGCAACTACTATATGCAGAGGTAAGAAAAAGTTTGAAAATCAGAAAATAAATTACATACATGAGCCCTCTTATAGACACTGCTTTGTGGATAATTACCCCTGCAAGCAAAAGAGAATAGAATAATTATTTCATAGTAAGCATATAAATATAACAAGCCCCATTTGCTGTCACCTACAAAAAATATTTTGTGACCACAGTGAGCCAGGCCTTGCAGCAGAGAAGTCATCCTGAATTCAGCATAGGTGTATCTACATAAATCACCAAGGACAAATGCTGTAACAGGTATGCACCCTGGCAAAAACCACTTCTTCCAGAACGGGACCCACCCTTCTCTTATGGTTTTCCAAATCGGATTCACCTCTGTAAACAGTGCAGTGTGTTACTGTATTGTCATTTGTAAAGCAAGCAGTGACTGGAGAAGTCAGAGAAGAAAGTAGGAAGTCGAAATATGCATAAAATGATAAAACTCCATGTCTGTGCAAGTGATAATTTTATAAATTGCTAGATATCCCTCTCAGCTGCTTACAGTTCAGATATGAATACAGCTGGATTGGGCTAAAAGGTATGAAATAGAGGAGTCTTACACAACAAACCACTGTTCCTGGGCAGGGTTTTGGAACTATAATATCCTTTCATTAGACACTGCCACACAAGAGCTGCTGTGCACCTACTTACACAAACTAGACAGCCCGCAGGAGTCACGACCCTCGCTCTGTGGATGGATGTGACCCTTAAACTCCTTCGCACTCACATGCAATCGCTGAAACAGGGCTTCAGCAGTACTAACATGAATGAACCCTGCAGGTACCAGAGCTCTGCCCTACCTTCCAGCTCCTGCAAGGACCAATTTCCATACTTCTTGAATTGCCAGGATGGCATATCAGATCCATCAGCCCACCTGACTCAGTGCTCACGTGCTGGAGAGGCAGCAAAGGTTTCGTCTTCATCATGAACCAATATATATGGCCAAAGATGAGGTCTCAGTTTGGCAGCAGCTACTTGCCTTGCACTAGGCAGGATATATATTTTCACGTGAATAAGCCCAGTAAACAGAATGTGGGTGTTCACATGATCGCAGCTGTACAGATCTGAGGGTTTGGTTTACACCCATGTCACAGGACTGCTCAGTTGTGAAATGGGCACTTGGAACCTGGCTGCAATTTCATTCAAAGGACAGAGGGTCAAGATGACACCACCACACAGCCAGAGGCTTACCTGACTTTAAAGTTTGTCACAAAAAATTCTTCTCCAGTAAATATGATACTAAACTGGAAAGAAAACAATAGCATTTTTATTAACTTGGTTTATCAATACTTTATCTAGACCTGCTTGTAAATTTAGAATTGTCATCAAAATTCTAAATCCCCACGAAAATGGCTAAAAATTTTTACAAAATGTCAACACTTTTCCCTTCCTTCAGAATCTAATTTTATACTGTTAAAAATGCGTTGGATATCATGATTCTGAAACGCCACAATACTGTTACATGGATATTCATTTCTGTGCTGTCCCATCAGTTTGCATTCTGTACCAGCTGTCCTCATCATCTGATACCTGCTAGAAATACATGAGAATGAGAAAAGAAAGCTACTCACCCAATTTTCAAGAAGCTTCCTTGCATCATAGTAATCAGGAGCTCTCTCAGTTTTGTAGAAAAGAGAAAAGTTCATATCAACGTTAAAGAAGCTGACTGTAAGAAGAGAAGATAAGTGAGATGCATCCTGTGGTTGTACAGAAGGTACCTGCGCCCCTCCCCATCTCCTCACCCCTCTGTTGAACCACAGTTGTGTTTCCCAGTCTCATGGACGCTGAGGTTCTTTGAGAAATTCCAGACTCCAAGCGTCTGAGTCTAGATTACTGCTGCATTGCTAGAAATTTCATTAAGGAGCCTAAGGGCCCAAACACATGGTCAAGTTATCACAGTTTAACAAATAAATAGTGGTTTGTACTTGTAGGTGCACTAACTTGGCTTTTGCTGCCTGCTAAGAGTGCATAGGAAGAGGTAGGAGGATCTGCTGACATACCACACCCTGCTAAGCAGCAATAGCTTAAGCATGACTGAATCTTAAATTGTCATATGTATGGTGTCAGTCAGTGTCAGTGATGATCATGTGAACATTTAAAACGGCCTCATTTAGCACTTACATGGAATGGTGCTATTGGTACTGCTGGTCGGAGGTAACGGAGGCAGCGTAGGAGCACTTGATGATGCTTCACTTGAGCCTGCTGAAAAGAACATTAAAAGGCCTGAGAATCCACAGGGGCAAAAGTGTCAGGAAGAGCATAGTCCAGGGGAAAGAGAGGTATGAGTCCCTCAGCAAAGGTCATCGTAACAAAGACCTGCTGTTGTTCACTCTGCAGGGTTCACTCTGTTGTGCACTCTCCAGGATGAAGGCAAATTGGGAAAATACGCCTGTGTGGGGGGTTTTCTTATTTCTCCAGAGGTGACTACAGTGTAACAAGGGAAAAAACAGGATTTGCGAAGTTTAGATTACACAGAAGACCAGAGTTTATGCAACATTATCTTTTTTCATTGCTTGTGTTGAAGAGCAGTTATCTCTCTGTTCTCTCTTCCTCAATTAACCTGTACCACCCTCAGGAAAAGGCATTTGTCAAACACTGAACGCTAACGGGTTAACATGCATGTGAGATGAACATTGATATTCATGGTCTCTGGTTTAATAATAGCCATGCATAAGGATTTCTATTATAAATGCCGACCATCCTGCCTGTTGTTTTCGAAGTAAAGAATTCCAAGAATTCGTTTGTAGCTAATTTTCCTTGAAGTGAATCACCTTGTCAAACCAGATATGATTTCTGCATTTCACAGGCAATCTGCCACATCACCAGGCAGACAGGGACAAAACGGGTGATGTTTGTCACATGTATTACAGAAAATTGCAGTGAACCGAATCACCATATAACATTACAGGTCTTGGTGATGAAAGAAAAGAGGGATCACAACATTTTGCTCTAGAGTTACCATTTCCTTGCTATGCTGGTAATTTGTGTTTTTTTCTTCACTCTCATGACTGTCAGAGACTTGACATTCTAGGTCTGACTAAGAGAAATAAACTTAACATATGAATACAAAGCCAAATTATGAATAAGGAGTGTGGTGGGAAATAAGTAGGATAAGGCCATGCTTCATAAAGCATTGTTTTCTCTCCTGTGGTTCAAGGTAAGGAGAATCACCCATGCTTAAAGTGTAACAGCCCACCTCTGACCCATTCAAATCACTGGCAATACATCCATGGACAACAACAGAAACAGGGGCTGTTAACAACCTGAAGCCTCCTATTTTTATCCTAAATAGCTTCAGATTATTTTGAGAAGTTGAAAGGACAGCTGAAGCCCCTTCTGAACAGGCATGCTGCAGCACACAAGCTTCTGCTTCTTAGACAGACAAGCAGGTTTACCCTTTGCCTTGAGTCACAGTCTGTGCACTCAGCACAAAGTCAAACTGGAGCAATTTCTGAGTTCCAGTGACTGGAACAAGAGGACAGTAAAGCTATTGGAAATCCAGCTCTGAGTTGTCTCTCCAAGGTTGGCTCTTGCAGGCTAAGCTCAGACCCTTCAGTCTTCAGCTCAGACCTTCAGCCTCCAAATGGTCGTGGGAGGTGCCAGTCTCTGTTTTGGTGTCATCTCATGATCTAGAAGCCAGCAGTTTCAGTCCCTGTAGTATCACCAGCAGAAGCAACACGCTCAGAGCTGGCAAAGAGCTGAGCCAGGAGGCCCCTCCACACCCGGAGGTGGTGGGATGGGGAGCAGGAAAGATGCCAGGGCTGTTGCAAAGATCAAACTGCCCAGCAGCCTGCTTTTGCAGAGCAGTGCTCTTTGTAGCGCTGTTCCTACTGCTCCCAGGGTGTACAGAAAGCTGTAAAAATAGCAAGCCTGCTTTTCCCATGATACTTGATGAATCCTAGGTTTTCATTTAGACATCTCTCCTTTTTACTCAGGCCTGTTGCTTCTGAGATAGTACTAAATTGTTGGAAAACAGAGGACTAATTTACTCTGCTTTTCCACTAAAACGCTAGCAAGTCCAGGAGCAAGCTGCTACATGGCCATTTCAAATTCGTTGCCTGCAGTAGGTCAGAAACATGACCTGACATAATGGGTATTTGCTGATTCTTTATTGGAAAAGATCCACAGGCTTAGATCATCTAACTGCAAGGCAGACCTAGATATTCAATACACAGGCCTCCTACCAATAGCTGCTAACACTGTTTGACATACACATGAATATGCAGAAAACAAGAAGCCAGAAGTATCTACTAAATTCATAGCAAAACCCTAGAAGCAAAGGGAAACAACTCCTCTAAAGAAAACAGAAGGACCTGAAACTAAGAGGATGTGCTTTTTCCTCACAACACCTACTACCCTGAGAATACAAAGAGCAAAGCACGGAGTACCTGACCCCCAGTGCTGCAGAGAGGCAGATATTCCAGCATTCCCAGTGACTTTAATCCTACAGTTTGAATTTCTAGTGAAAACCTGTGTGCCTTCCTGTGGTGTGAAGCTGCAGAGATGGGTTCTGTGAGCCCCAGTGTGATGCTACAAATAATTAGTCCCTGGCTTCAAGCTGATAGAAAATGAATGTCTTGTTCTAAGCTTTTGTTAAGAACTGCTGTCCTAGAGGAAGTGTGATGAGAACATAGAAAGGCCAATGCTGTGCAGATTTGCCCTGTCACTGGAATAAATTATTTTTTCTTTCCTTACAGAAATGCAAATATGATATTAGGCTATGATTTATCAAGCCATAAACCAAACTGTTTGTACACGTAGGGTTGAATTTGGCCTCCTGACTGTTACAGTGCTGCAGATCTCCAGATAGGAGGAATCTCCATATAGCTGGGTGATTACAGGCTCCACTCTGTTCCTGTTGTTATCAGTGTAATGTTTCAAAAATCATTGCCTCAGGGGTGATGTATGATATCACCCCGTGTCAGCCTGGATGAATCATAAAAATCTTCTAGGGAAAAAAAAAAAAAATAGAGAAATGGCCAAACAAAACCCAAACCCATTCTAATCAGGAATGTAATTCACAATGCTGTTTTCATCTCCTGAAAAATGAAGCATAATTACAACTTCACAGACTTAAATTTATTTCTTTCTCTTTATCATTATCACCTGAAGAAAAAAAAAAAAAAATCTGTTTATTCTCACATGTCAAGTATCATTGTCAGCAGGCAGGTGTGGGACTAGCCACCTGCATCCTGTAACTTCATTTGCTTTAATTAACATGCATGTAATTCCATTCACGAAATGAGAGCCAAGGCATGATGACAGATGAGATCTGAAGCTAGAAAAATACTGTAACACTGACATTTTAAAAGTCCTAGTAATGGATTTTCATTTGATAATTTAATAAATGGTTTGTTTGGCATCCTGTAAATATGTATGATTTCCAATAGAAGAGCAGCAAAAATTAGACCCACCAATAGGAGAACTGTAATAAATATATTTCTGTATTACTAGCAGTCATTTTCAGATCCTGTGTATTCATCCCTCTCCCAGATTATTTAAAATTAAGAAGAAAATCAGAAATCAGTGTGTGGGTGAGGTAGGGGGAGGAAGAGTTGAAGACTGTGAGTCAGTGAGAGGATGAGAACACACACTTTTCCTTCTATACTTTTAGCAAAGGCCCAGCTGAGCTGGAAAAGGATCATCTTCTAGAACTCTGGGTAAAAAAAAACAAAGGCAGAGCAGTAACTTTACTCCTGTTATCGAGCAAAACCAGTGCAATTGCTACGATAATTGTATCACCTACAAAAGGCCAACACACTTTCTTAAGGCTGCTTCCTGCTGCATTCATATGAGAAGTTTCACTCACTTTGCCTAAATGAGGCCTGGCTTCCCAAAAGTAATCTGGAATTTCCAAAACAAAGCAGGTTGCCCAACTTTCCAGCACAACTGCATAAACTGTCTACTGTCAAGGTGAACCAAGCAATGCACAGGTCTATAAACAACATGTATAAACACAAGAAGCAAACCCTGCAGCTAGTAATAGGGCATAAGTAACAATTCGAGTTACGACATCAGCACTGAAATGGCACTTCCCCATAACATTTCATTACATAGGCACAACTGTTTCTTATACACATGCTCCATGTTCTCATGCAGACTCATCCGTGTGACATATGGACAATCCATATGAACTACAGCCAAGTGCAGCTTCCCCTATCTGAAAGACAGGACATAAATCTCAGTATGTATTTACACCACGCACTGTTATCCCTACCTAGTGTATTATCAGTATGCAGTATCTGTGCAATGGCTAGCTCATGAATTTCAGTTAATTAAAGTAAGGAGTAGATTTATAATGGAAGCAAAGGTCTTGCCAAGATCTGACACATGACAGATTCTCAAACATGATTAAATTTTATGAGCATCTCTATAACTAGGACTTCACAACAGTCATCTCAGTTATTGCTCTCGGGAAAATGTCAGACTCCAGTAACCCTTCCCTCCTCCCAGGGTGGAACACAATGTGGATCCAGCCATTCATGGCACCACAGGCAAGAGTAGCCTCGATGCCTGTTGGTGCAGTTCATCCCTTGTGAGATACACTGCCGTTTCTCCTTGCTGATAACCTTTTCATATTTGCACCAACAGTTTCCAGACTGAATGTCCAATTCATGTTGCGCTGGAGAATCCGAACTAAAGGAAATCACCTGGTTCTTAGGGACTGCTTTAGAGGGACAAAATGCTTTGACCATTGAAAGCCTCTCTCTAAAATACTTAAAAGTGTGTTATGAGACACACTTAAAAGACTCACTAAAAAGCTGCTCAAATTCATCCAGGTTATTGTTTTTGAAAAATCAAAGTCCAGGGACACTGAGTGGAGTCTTTGATTTTAGGTGCTAAACTTTTCACCAGCAAACATGAGTAAGCTTCTCACAAGTCCTTGCCAAGCCAGGCACACACCTTTCCCACAGAGACAATGGGCCCAAGGGCAAAGGTATTAATCGGAAAAGGGGAACTGAGCCTTCCTCCTCCCTGCTCATCAGATCATGTGTGTCCCCCCAGTCAGGGACACAAGTAGGGAAATAGCTCTGGCAGCGGGCAGTGCAGAAAGAGGACTGCCTGAATAAAGGCAGTGGGGCAGGGAGCCGAGAGGCAGACGGGCAGGTTGTCATTTACAGCAATTGATATTAGTGCCTGCGTTCTTTGGTGCAGAGCAAGGGGGTGAGCAATGATGGCAGGGCGGGGAAATCCCTCTGAGCACAGGTTTCAGCAGCAGTCGGTGATTTCCCAATGCTCTCCTCATTGCCTTGGGCCCTGGTTTGATGAAACCCAGAGCAGGAGATGGGCAAGTGCAGTGGGAACTGCGGTGAAATCTGTGGATGCTGCACTTGACAGAGACGTGCTGTCTGATGGGATGCTCCTTGAATTCTCAAACTGGACACCAGAAATGACCAATTACTTAGTACTGTGCCTCTGCTTTCCCTGTGAAGCTTACAGATGACTACTAAAGATGCACTCACTGTTATTGTGGAGCACCTAAATATTGTGGCGTGTCCTTAGTTTTATGTAAATTAGTCAGTCAGTTAGTCAATCTTGGTCCTCTGTTTTAACACTGTGTAGTTTAGATACCATGCAGTCCATACAGACATCAGGACTGGATGATGAGATAACCCAAAACACTGCTAAGGGTGCTTTTCAGTGAAGGAACATCCATCTGGGGCACACAACAGACAAGTGTCCTGTGGAAAAGTGATTAATATCATCTAACTAATGGCTCTAGTTAAATATTGCTAAACATACTGCAACAAAATGTCTGTGTTCAACCTACCTCACTCAGGCCCAGGCCAGCTGAGTAGCAGTTTGGTGCTGCAGCAGAAGGATGAACCACTAGAAGGTTCATCTCAAAGATGCCACCGGCCAACAGGCTCCAGAGGATGCCAGTGGCAGAGCCTGCCCCTGCCAGCTTCCCCTCATCCACAACCTCCGTATCTGCTTCAAGAGCCTGCACGGGGTGAGTGGGCAGCGCCCTACGCATGGCTACAGCTCTGTCCACTCAGTCACAGCAGCAGTCACTCGGAGGCTATTAGACAATCCCTGTTGTCCTGAGCACTGGAGGGTTCCCTACTCTCTGTATGTGATCCCCAGCAACACGCGAGCCCCAAGAAGAGGAAAGATTGCAGGGACTCACCACAGCGCAGGAGACAGTCTGCCACGGGAAGGATGCTGCTGAAGTTCCAGTGCTCTTCCTTCCAGCTGACAGTACTGCCCATGGCGCAGTCCAGCAGCTCTTCCCGACCCATCACACGGTCCCACATTTGGAAGTAGTACAAGCTGCCAATGAAGCTGTTGCTTACCCGCACAATAAAGCCATCCTTTCTTTTGTGCAGATGACCCAGCACCAGGCTCCCGTTGGGTTTCAGGCACTCAGCGCTGCCAATAGTTTCAGTATGCACGAGATTACCATTGCAGTAGACCTCCAGCTGTTGTTTCCTGCTGTCCCACAAGCAGCACACACTGTACCACACAAAAAGGGCCAGATCGATCTCAATGTCTCGTCTGGTGCCGAAAAGATACAGTCTCAATCGCTTGTTTTCTCCAGAGAGCCCAAGCTCTATGTCATTTATGTCAGTGGAGGTGTTGCTAGCATCATAGGAAAAGGCTGCCCAAGAGCTGACATTGGCCGTCCGCTTTAGGTCAATGCACACCGTGAACTGACATAGCTGAGGGATGCTGAAGTTGGCCAGAGACACATACTTATCATTCCTTCCCAGTAAATCCAGTCTTTCTCCATGCAGATAGCGTGTTTCTGTAAGCAAACAGCATCGGGAAAGAGGGTGAAGAAGGGAAATAAAGTGTCCCTTCCAAAGAAAAACCTGCAATACGACCTCGTTCCAGCACTTCCCTGAATGATGATTAAAAAAATTAAAAGTTTCTTCTATTTCTAGTTTCTGCTGCCTTTGAAATTTAATTCTGAGACCACCCACACTACCAGAAAAGATGGGTTTAATCCTGTGAAGGAGAAGTTGAAGTGTTCAAGACATGCCAAATAGGAATCAATGCAGAACTCAGGTCTAGGGTCCACGTGCTCCAGTATCAGTATGGATGCTCAGCGCCAAGGTCGTGGTTCAGCACATGCAGGGTAAAGAGCTATTTGCATGTTTGGTTCCCGGGTGACATACCACACCCCCAACCTTCAGTTTTTAGATTAAGGTTTCCGCTTTTCTCAAGCTCTGGAGAATTTGTTGGGTCATCTTTTTTCTACATTACTTTAAATCATCTCATTATATCTCCACAACCTACTCAAAAGGTTTTGGTGACAGAGGCAACCTCCCTGAGTAATACTAACCGCAGACCTACACAGGCAGTGAGTAATTTGCCCCAGCTCTGACTGCAGAGTAGCACAGTAGTAGCTGTGATGGCTCTAACCTCGGTCTCTGGGGCAGTTCAGGCAGGGGCACCAGCACGCTGTGGAGGGTCTTTCACTCTGCTTATCTGGGTTTTGAACTCCACGTTAAGTGTCTGTTACCTATCTGGACAGGAGGCAGCCCAGTGCAATGCTAAGACACGTTATCTCCATTCTGACTCCTGGATTTGCGAGTCCCACTGCAGTCACCACCTACCACGACAAAGTCCCGTCCCCGGGCATGAATCTCTGTGAAGGTGCACGAAGCCCCTGGAGCAGCACCAGTCCACGGGCAACACGTCTGGACAGCAGCACACCAGCACCGAAGGCAGGAGCCAGTCCTTCCACCAGCTCCATCTGCCACCAACAAGGTGGTTCTGTTGGGGGTGAGGAGACCCCACGAGCACCATAGCAGCCGTAATTAATCAGACTCAATTTGTAACCCAGGCCCCTCCTTTACAGGTGATCTGCATCTTTAACTCACTATTACATTCACATGTTTACATGTGCTTCACTAATTCAGGATATATTTCTTCTAGATAAGAATTTCCATTAAGTTGAGTCTTTTATAAGGACATCTGGGGGCCATTTTTACAGCATTCTCCTCAAATTAATTTAAATTTTTCCAACCCTGATTGCCAGCCATGTAAATCAGATATATTTCTACAAAGCCCCCAAGTCTAACCTGACCAATAAATCTCCAGGGGCTATCTGCACTTCCAGTAAAGTTTATACACGTTGTGGATGGCAAAAAGTAGCTGGTGCTTCTCCCCATCTACTTCACACACTTTAAACTGGAGGCAAGTAGGAAATGATCCATCCGCAGACTCTAATCCTCTGGAGGTGATCAGAAGTGGTGCATTGCTGTCCTAGTGTAACCTTGTGCACTCAAAGCGTAAAGAGAACATTTCTGCTACACTTAACAACACTCCGCTATCTTCCATGTCTGTCTCAGCAATAAGATCAGCTTCGCTGAGCACCTCAGTGCGTTGTGGAGCGTGCACCCACATCCTGGTCTAGCTTCCACCACTACAACTCCACTAAGATGCTGGTTTGCGCCCGAGATAATTATTTTCCCCTTGAGTGGGAGTACGTAGGACTCAGAACAGCAGTGTGTAACATCCGTTCAGCGGAGGCCCCCGGGCGGGATGGGAGTTTAGCACCTCTCCACTAACACGCCAGCCTCTGCCTTAGTGGGAGCAAGCCCTTGCACATGAAATCACATGGCCGGTGCTGGGACTGCAAGAGAAGATCCATGGTGGAGCTTTAGGGGATGCAGAGACGTGGGTGTAGCTACTCAATTACAGCTCAAGCAGTGAGTCATTCATTACAGCACAAGAAAATGCCACAGCCATCTTCAGCCATACTTCCCAGCATCTGCAGGGCCCAAAAGGGCAAGAAGCCGGTTCCCACGGGTTTCTCCAAGAGATGGGACTCCCTGGGGGGTGTACGACTGGCAGAACTGGCACCCGTTCCATGAGTGACCAGAGCAGCCCCTGCGCCCCAGCAGACATGCTGAGAAATCACCCTTTCAGGGGTCAGGCCTTCCAGTGTCTCACAGCAGACAGATTAGGAGCCTCTGGCCAAAGCTGAGAGAAAGTGGGCACATTTGGCAAGACCCAGGCATTAATTCAGTCTTTTTATTACGGAAGCTTTCCTTGGAAAGAGCTCATTTTTCTCCTCGACTACACTGTGCGCTGGAAGTGCCCCCAGTGCTACAGGATGCATTTTAGAAGCATGAATTATCTCAGTGCCCTGCATTGTTCTTGAGGAGAAGCCAAAGAAAGAAATACAAAAAACAACATAAAACTAATTATTGTTTTTCTGGGATTTACAGTGGAGCAAAAGGGTGTTGAGTGTGTTCATGAAGCAGTGTTTGACTCGGCGCCTGAATTACTACCGGGGAATTTGGTTCTGCCAGTAGGCTTGTGCTTTTCCCAGAAGACCACGAAGTGAGTAAATGAACAGCTTTTATTTTACAGTGACCAATGTAAAACTAGAAAAAAACCCATACGGAAATGCACAAAGACACCCAGGAAGGAAAGAAATGAATAATGACAAAAACCAAGAGGCTTTTCACCTCCAACTGTGGACAAGAGCTGTGATGCAACCAAAGCCTGACGCTTCATTCCTTGCCATATTTCCTCGTTTGTACTGACCCACCTGCGGCCCAGACTGAACCAGCATCCCAGGAGAGGGTCTGCATCATGGCCAGACCTGTAGGTCTGCAGGCCAGCATATGTTCAGGGGAAGACAAGGACCCCAGTACCAGTTGCAGTGAGAAGGGAGAGATCCAGAGCACGAATAACTGCTGCTCTGGGGCAGGACAAGAGGAAAGTGGGCTCCTATCCTGATCTACTGTGTGTACACAAACCAGGAAACCAGCAGACATCTCCCGGGCCGGGGGCTGCCCAGGGCGCGCCGGCAGCACCATCCCCGTGGTTAATCCTGAGGGGAATTACTGTACCTGCCAGGAGGAAAAGATGAGCAGCAACCATCAGGATGCAAAGAGCCTTGTCAGAAGAGTGCTGTCCAGGGCCACACATGAACCTCTTCATTCTTTAGGCATGTTCTGAAAGAAAGATATCGGTGAGCCCCCTCTTACCACACACTTGGCTGAGGAATTCAAACCGCTCCGGCGATTTGCTGAAACGGCATTCACAGCACAGGAGCTCAGAAGTCCTCACTCCCCGTGACCCAGCTGAGTCACTAGATCAGTAGTCTCTGTAAAGGTCACAGCTATACAAACCCTCTGGTTTCTAAAAGAGATGAGATTTACACAATTACACTCTGCGTGTTTCGTCCATCTGTCACAACTCTGCAAACCCATTAGCAACTTTCAACCTGCTTCGACAAAAGGAGTCCATGTCTGAAGCGGTGACGTTCCTACAAACGTGGGGAAAACGAGAAGAGAAAGCCCTACCAGTGAGGTTAAGCTGGCTGTGCTGGCCCACAGTTATACCCCACAGACACTTGTGGGATGGGAGACCACAGGGCAGCAGAGGGGGCAAGAGGCACACAGAGAAGCAGGACGCAAGGCTGCTCATGGACAGCGCGGTCAAAAAAAGTATTTGCTCTCACTGCTGCGCCTTTGTCTGCAGACAGACTTTCATCAGTTTAATTAAGCCCTGGGAACATGTAATTGGGGAAGGGCTAGTTCCAGGGTATAAGTGTACACTGAGCACTTAAAGCAAAATCCAAATACGCCACTCTAAATTGGAAGGAATTTTTCCTATTTCGTGCTATAGTTTGACTAAAATTGCTTCAAAGATGACTGTAGTTAAACCAGAGCAACCGAGCGGAGAGCCAGCCTCGCTGCCCGAGAGCCCCGGACTCACTCCTAGCACCCTGCACGCTGCCCCGTGGTGCTCTGCTTTCTCCACTCACTTCACTGGACATCAAAGGCAAGGGCTTATTCTGGGTTTAGGACCACACTGGATTAAATCTTCAGCTACTAATGAGGTATATAAAATGGCTGTAAGGGATGGACTAGATCCTCAGATTGTCTAAACTGGCCAAGCTCCGTTCAGTGGAGTCTCCTGGCTTCACATCAGACGCAGCCCTCGCCTGGGGCTCCCCGCTAAGGGTTACTAACAGTCTGACCGCTGGGAAAATGGAAATTGTCCCTTTGTGTGCAGACATATGAGATAAACATTAGAAAATTATTTAAAACCTGAGCGAATAACAGCTCTCTCCATTTCCTTTTAAAACTGCACTGTACAAAACTTACGAAGTTAGGAAATGTCCCAGTTTTCCATTTACTGCTGTGACAATAAATTTCTTTTCCCAGCCTTCTCCTTTATTACTCCAGCAGTGATTTGCTGACTTTTGCAGTAACATTTAAAGAACAAATCATTATGCTCCCAGCCTGTGGTACCTAAACAGGACTTCTTACATATTTCAGGTGATTCACACTTTCTCCTGAAAACACCATAGTCATTAAAAGGTGCTGCTCAAAAACTCACCTCCCAGTGTAGCATGGAAATCAAGGTAGATTTTTGCTAAGGGCTCCACACTGTTTCTCCTGTCAGATGCCAAAAGACCGATGGAGAGAAACAAGAAGAGAAAATCAGGTGGGATATTATGATGTTTTCAGTCAGTCAGGCAACGAGGAGCAAGTGACTTCTGTTCTGAAACTGCATTTCTTAGGTCCTGGAAAACCTGCTGTGACAACAGATCTCTGCTCCCAACCTTCTCCTTTATTACTCCAGCAATGATTTGTTGACTTTCGCAATAACATTTAAGAAACAAATCATTACACTCCCAGCCTGTGGTACGTCACAGGGTTGTATTAAGTTTTGTGCAGAGCAAAGTCCAGAACATGAAGCATTATAAAGCACTAATTAGAAAGAAACAACTGAACTGAAGAGTTCCCCTTGTTTTTGATTCAAAAGTGACTGCGCTAAGGAATATTAGTTGTCATTTTCCCACAACAGTTGTCTAGCCTCTATTTGTGGTATACAGCACTATAATGTAAAGATCAACCAGTATCTTGCTTTCCTCCTGCAAGGTATTAATCAGTCATTGCCAAATTAAACCAATATTAAATATTGCTTGCTACCGAGAAAGATGTTGTGAGTCAAGACCAAGGAGTGAACAGCACCAGGAAAGGATGGTCCTGGCTGTAGCTTAGCAGGAGGTAAAGTCTTGAATTTTGAGAGTTATCTCTGGAGGGATGAAATGGTTTGCACAGGGCCCTGAGGAGCTTGCTCCCGTCTCCCACAGGAGTGTGATCTTAAATGTTTTGGCAGTGGCTCCCAGCAGTTGAGCTCCCTCACTGGATCTGGTTAGGGACATGAGAGGAACCGGAGAGACCCTGAACCTCCCAAGGCTGCTTAACACTTCAGTTGACCCTGATCCTCCAGACACTCTAGTCTCCAAACAGGATGGAAGTGTCCCTCTCTTCAGCTCTCCTAACTAATCTAGTCATCCGTCTTCACCTTCTTCCTGACAATTCTGTCCCCTCCTCTCAGTTACCCCTCTATAAAGACCTCAGACTTCAGGTTTCTCCCCTGAAGACCACCACAGCACGCCTTTGCCAAACTGCCCCATCTCCAGGAACTCTTCTCCTGCCTTGTCTTCTCACTATGCACCAGCAGAGACCCTCTCACAGCCAAGCAGCCGCGGCCAAGCACGCTCCTGCCACCCGCCAGCCTCGGCCAGCAGGTTTTGTTTTCTTTCTCTCATGGGCAGATCATATTCATGGAAATTGCTGGGCGTGCACTGTTTGTCTCGTCAAATCCATACTGCATAGCCTCTAGTATTCACAATAAAGTCTTGCAGAGAGCCTTTCTTCAAGCATGGGACTGAACAAGACTTCTCAAGGGTGGGTGCTTCAGAAGTCATCTTTTTGTGCCCGTCAACTTTTTGTACCTGTTAAACCAGTATCATGGCATCATGGTATAGAAGGAGTTTTTACTGCAACTCCAGAGCGACTATTGAGAAGGTCTAGCTGTCCCCTTTCTCCACTTTGTCCATTTTCTTCTCTCTGCTTCCCTGTTCTTCAGTTTAGTGGTTTAAATTATTCAACACAAGTTGTTTATCAGCTTTGCTAGAGATTACTGCAAAGGGTCTGGAACACCATGTGAGGGCATCTCCTCTTTAGCACTAGGTGACAGGCAGAGCCTGATCTAATAACCAGCATCCTGCATCCATTCCTGGTCAAAACCTTCCTGGGAAGTTTTAGAAGAGGACACATAGGACTCAGAGCTGAAAACAACCTGTGACTAAGAAGTACAATGAAATGAAGAGCAGCAGAAAATGAAGACAGAACACATTCAGACTTACTAGGGCCATTCAGATAAAAAAAAAATTTTGCTTTACTTTGGATGTGCAAAGATTTTTGCCAGGAGGTTGCTATGGTGACTTTTCAGCTCTCCCAAACCTCCTCATACTGTAATTACATCTCAAAGCCTGTGAGCTCGGAATCTTTGATTCTTTGGAGGAAGAATGTGGGTGGCTGACTCTTCAGGATGTTTTTCAACCAGCCATTTTTATTCTAAAACAAACCAAAAAGATTCATATACTTGTGCCTTTAACAGCTGCTTACAGTTTCCATGAAACCTTCTGGCCTTGCTGGCTGTCATCCTCCCAAGACCTTCTTGAATTATTTTTACCTAAAAGGATCCTTTTTCAGAACATCTCAGACCTGCACAGTGCAACAACGAAGGTTTTTTTAGAGGATGTTTAGTTCCCAGTTGGACTGAGCTTTCTTTATACCACTGGACATTTAAATTTGGTCCCTAAACTAAAATGTGCATAATGGTGGGAGTATTTTTGCATTTTCTCAGCTTTTGTTATTTACTTCAGTTGTTGCCAACTGAGCACTGAAAGCACAGAGGCTGTGCAAATATTGTCCACATTTTCTAGTCGATGGACCTACCCAGTCCTGCCCAGCTCCCCTGAGATAATGCACCATTAAAAAATAGTTAAGGCCCAAAATACATATCCTTTGAATCAGAAACAGTCAGACCACTGTTGTTCAAAATAAACAGTATAACATATTTACCAGCAAAGGGATCCAGTGTTACATTTCAACAAACAATTGTTATTCTTTTCCTTCATAGCAGAAGCATCGGGGCACCTTATATGGGCACACAGCACAGAGCTGCACGGGGCTGCTGGCCGAGCAGAGCGGGGCTGCAGCTGCCCTCTGGACACTGATCTGTAAATAACATGCTTGATCATAAACCATAATCTTGCAAATTTTATTGTAAAATATAAAATCAGTTCACTAAATCAGGGCAGGAAAAGATTAGCAGGGGGGATAATCTTCTCTTTCAGAAACCTTGAAGGATGTAAATATTACAGAGTATTTTCTGAGTCAGCTGACAGCTAGCCCATACAAACTTCTAGGTTACAAATTGGTTTTAATACAGAATTGACTTTTTTCATTCCTTTTCAATTTCAAAGCTAGGAGAAAATCTTTTTGACCATGATTTATTGAATCCTCTAGTAGGTATTTTAGAAACTTGAGTAAAATCCTTATGAACTCGTAGGTGTTCAAGAAATACAACTCAAAGAATACCACCACACCTTCAGATTTACTCCAGTCCTTTGCTACAGGCTGATTCTAGAATGATGTATATTTCACTCTGTCAAAACATCCCAAGCAGGTATTTTTAGAAGGAAAAAAACAATTAAAAATTTTCTACATTCATTTTTTAATTTTAGAATATTTACACTTTTAAAATTCAAATTGAAACA